GCAAATCTGAATGCACACGCTGCGGGGTGCCTGGCTTCACTAACTCTTCCACCCACTTTGCTCTACCAGTGATGTCAGCCTTGCCCACTTTCTCACTTTGCATTTCTTTCCAGGTCTGTCCCTGCCTAGGGCATTTTGCTTGTAATGCTACTCCCAGTTTCTCCTTTAAGTATCTTTTTCCAGGCCTACCTGTCCCACAAGGCTTTTAACACATTGAACCACAACAAATGGTGCTAAGATTGAAGTGGCGGAAAGTGAGAGTTGGTGCTATTCTTGAAAGTTTGTATAGTTACCATCAATGCACATAATAATTTCAACTGTATTCTGTGTTCCTCTGAGGCTGTGAGCTTTTGGGTTAGCAGCCAGGCCTTCACAGTACTTTGCCCCTGACTGGGACATCTGGCTGTAACAATATACGTATTAAAAACATTAATAATGTAGAAGCCAGAGTAACTATGCACTTGTGTAGACTAACTAAATAAGATGTATATCTTGAGACAGAGTGCGAGAGTGAGCATATTAGCTTTCTAGAACCCCAGCCAGCATCTGATGAAGTGAACGTGGGTTTGTGCAAGCTCGTGGTCTCTAGCTATCTAATTTAAGTAGTTTACAAAGGTGCATATTTACCCTACCTTCTGACTGACTTCAGACTAACATGGCTAACTACTTCTCTTTGCTCATAGACATATAGGCACTGCATTTAGAGTGCAGCGTCAGTGCCCCAAGCAGTGCCTTTTGCCTGAAAATGAAGCCCTTAATCTGTAGTATTTATGTACTGTATGTAATCTAACCCTGTAGTTATGTACTGGAATCATTCTCCTTCAAACACCCTCTGTTCTGTTCTAACTCACATCCTTTCTTTTACATTATTCCTCTCCTTTGGTTAGCAACACACACACTCTAACACATTATATGATATGATATGATATTAATATATGTGTGTGTGTTAGAGTTTGTGTGTTGCTAATATATATATATATATATATATATATAGGTTACTCAAAGCTTACCAGCCATTGAGACAGAAATGCACACACATGATAAAATGATTTAAGAAGTGCTACAATAGTAATGTAACTCCTCTTCATCATGCATTCTGCATTTGAAATGTCATGGTATATTACTGTTGATGGGGATTGCTGTTTTGAGGGTAATAAGTATTTTGCATTTTTGTAAGATGAGGAAACAAGATAGACACCTCTCCAGAGAAGAAACAACCTCCCACCATTTGTTCTGTTGCCTGTTGAGCAAATGGAAACCTATAATAAAAATGTCAATTAAAACAGTTTATTTTTCTTTATATTTTGGCTTAATTCTGGCACTTAGAGTCAAACTTTTGGCCAAGTTCTAGCCAGGTCCAAACACTGATATTCTAAGATACTTTCTTCCTTGGTTTGTCATTTTTTATTAGATTGTTGATTTAAAGAGACTTGATGCATTTCATCCTTAGGTTTTTGTGTTTGGTGTCTCTCCTGTCTTCCAGAAGTGCACTATACTCAGGCCAAAGACCCTCTTCATAATTCCACTTTATAGCAGCAAGAAGGTACCTCAATTGCTTTATATCCTGCCTGGCAGGTTCCTTGTTACTTGTTTGGAGTTGAATAAAGAAAACTAGTTGTATTGTCAGTTTAATTTCTTCATCGAAATAGGCTGTTTTACCCTACCAATCTCTCATCACAATGGGTACTTTGGTACTATTTACAGATGTCTATCAGTCCAACAGGAAGGATTTCATTTCAAAGGCAGCACTCTAACACAGAGAAATGCAATAGCATGACACGCTGAAGCCAATTTTGTTTGGATTGAATCAAAGAATTGTTGTAAACATTCAGCCGAAATGTAAAAGGGCCATTGAGGGTCCCACACAAGCCATTTTGTTTGATGGATTTCATGTTTACCTGCCAGTGTTTCTGGTTTACGAATTGGAGGCCAAGGGGGAATCAGCCCGTGGTAGTTTGTAACATTTGATTTGAATGCAAGAACCGAAAACCTTGTCCAGTGCTTGTGTTGCAGGTCAGCACAGGTATTGTGGAATCGTTTCTGAAACCATAATGACTTCAAGTCCGTTCGTTACATGTGGCAAAAAGAAGTAACTTCTGTACTCAGTACTATAATAAACTTTGAATGCCCCATGACTGGAAAAAAGTGCTTGCTTGACATCTATGCTGAGATCATCCATGACAGTAGATTAAAATAGTATATAAATTCCAGGAATCATTACTTATTGTACTATTAGAAGTATTTGTATTCATTCGAGCTAAAATGAAAACAAGTGGTAGAAATATGGGAGCAGGTTACAGTCATTTGTTCAGGTTTCCTAGATTTTTCTTGAAAATAAAAGGTGAAAGACAATATCCAGTTGGCACTCATTTCCAGCAACACCTTATGAAAGCAGCAGTCCCCAGCACTGATTCTTTGGAGAACACTTTCCCACCAGATATTCAGATGATATGGTCTGTAATAGCAAGGTTACTTAGGGGTAACTTAGCACCAGGACACCAACTGCTGTGTTGTTAGGAACAGGCTTTCGCAGCACAGCCGTGCCAGCAATCTTTTTCCTTTGCCTGCTGTGTCCAAATTCAGTGGAGCTGGCAGGTTAACTTTTGGTAACTGGATCTCCTTCCCCTATGCTACTCCTAGTTGTGTTGTAAAGCTAAGAAGGTGGCATTCAAAATGAGTTGAACTGCATTGTCGACACTATGGATTCCTCCTTGCCTCCTTGATGCACTGGAACTTAATATGAGGAAAATCTGGAAAGGGAACCATAGAAAAGAAAGGTTGGAAGGGACCTCTGGAGGTCATCCAGTCAAATCCCCCTCTGTAAACTATTCCAGATAGGGATCTGTCTGATTATTCTTAAGTTTCCAAGGATGGTAAATTGATTGCACTGCATCTCTAGATATTCTGCTGTAATGCTCAGAAAGTTCTTCTTAGCATCCTACCTGAAATCCCCTTGTTGCAGTGTAAGGCTGCTACTCCTTGTCCTGCAGCCATGGGGGAATAGTCTTTTGCTATCCTTCTTATAACCACCCTTCAAGTATTTGAAGACTGTTATCAATCCTCCCTCACTCTTGTTTAAGATAAGATTTACATACAGTGCATGTGTGTGTAACAATAGATTTATAGCATTTCTTTAAATTTAAACGTATAGACAGTAGTTGGGTAGAATAGCTATGATTTGTGTGTGAAGGCAAACACTTCAACTTCACAAATTACTGTACATGGCTGTTTCTAAAAACCATGAGGTATTTCCTAAATTGTACTAATATTGTATACTTTAACCTTTACTTCATGCTGTCATCATTTATGGCAATAAACTTGGAGTTGATGCTTGTTACATTAGTCAATCCCAGAGATCATGTCTGAAAAGTATGTTTAGAGTTTGAGTTGCTTCGTATGTTAAATTTTATTGCATACTTTTGGCATATAATCTAACAGAATCTAGGCTATTTAATCCAAGTCTGTAGTTGGAAATAAAGATTATGTTTGTTTAGGGGTCACATAATACACTATTCAACTTGAAAAGTGTTCTTCTGAACTTTTTCATGGCTAGCGCATGAATTGGATGGTTATGAAAAACAGGAATTTGTGACTTTTATATGCCTTAATACTCTGTTACATACACATCTTAAAAATAATTAAAAGTGCAGCTTTTTATTTATGTCACTTTTTTGAAGATATGTAAAGCAAACGATAAAATGCCAGCATGGAAGAGCTAAAGAAATCTGGGGTCAGCAGCTTTCATGTATTTCACCCCATGATACCGTGTAAACATTAACATTTAATACAAATCATCTGTGTCAATTGTCATTGAAATGGTAGGCTGGAAACTGGAATTTTTTTCTTCAACATTATTGGAAATTTGATTGTAACTGAATTGAGCACACCCGGCTTAGTCTAGCATCACATCCAGAGGACAATTGCTTTCCTTGGAACGGCATCCCCTACCCCAGATGTGACTTGGGTGTCCATCTGAACTTTAGTCCAGTTTCTGGTTAGAAGCTTGAATTGCAGACTATTGCCACTGCCAACAACATTTCATTTATATTAAGAGTTTGATACTACTTTAAACTTTAAAACGAGTATTTATTTTTCCAAACTCTGAGGCCAGAGCAAGAGTGAAAGCTAAAGTCTTGATACGCGTAGGCCAGGTATAGTGCTGGCAGCCAGTATAATGAGTGCAGACTCTGCTGTTAATGACCTCATCCTTGATCAGGAGGAGAGATACACTGGAGAGATGAGTGGTGATTCATTTTCTGTGCTGGAAATGCTCCTTTGGTAAATGACGTGTTTAGGAAATAATGCAGACTACTGGTCAGTAAAGTCTAAAACCAAAAAAACAGTTCCATTTGGGATCTTTGTCTACAGTTGAGTAATTGTCCTTGATAAACCCCTTTAAGTAATTAATCAAGTAAATTACTCCTCATTGTTAATTATAATTTTTTTTCAAGTTGTCAAAGTTTCACTTTGTTTTTCTCTTAAGCATGGGAATAAGATAAACCTATGATTCAAAGCTGTAAGCTTGGAGAAACCAGCCTTAGCAAGAAATTGCTCACTCTAAGGTACCAGTTTACCCACCCTGGAAACTTTTACCATGATCCATATCATGCGGGGCTGCCTGAGCCTTTCTAAAGACAAGGATAAAGTTCCTTTTACTTTTTCTTTCAGTTATTGCCCCCCTCTTCAGAGATGCTTTAAAAGGTATCCACTGGTATTGAGTGCGAGTGACACATCTGGACAAAGATCATAAGTTCATTTCTGTAGGCCAGATATAAGCTATAAATGGTAATGACTCTTGGTCACTGTGAATGTGGGTTGGATAAAGGCTTTTTATTCAACACAAATCTTGCAAGCAAGTCAGTCTCTGTGAGCTTTGAAATAAGGTAATGGAGAACATACAGAAAATGTTAAGAGATGATGGCATTTGCACGTTTTAAATATTAACTGTAAACTGACATGTAGTCTGCCATGATTTAGAATTTCTCCTTTTTCTGTTTTAGAGGATTACCCCAATGGGACGTGGCTCGGAGATGAAAATAATCCTGAGATGCGAGTCCGTTGCCCCATCACCCAAGCTGACATGTTGCACATCAGCACGAACTGCCGCACAGCTGAGAAGATGGCACTGACGTTGCTTGACTACCTCTTTCACCGAGAAATTCAGGCTATCTCCAACCTTTCAGGGCAGGGGAAGCATGGGAAGAAGCAGCTCGATCCTCTAATGATATATGGGATTCGATGTGAGTATAACAGTGTGACGTTTCCAGTCTTGTATTAGATGGTGAAGGGTGTTTGTACAGTGCTTAGCCTATTGAAGGCCTATTCATGATTGGCTTATTCATGACTTGTCTGAGAAGTTGAAAATCTCTGTATATTGTTATGAGCATGCTTACAGAAGTGTAGTGAGCACAGTTATAACAATATAGAGGGATTTCTAAAGACTCAGACAAGTCTTTAGAACCAAGAGTTCCAAAATACTCATGCATGTCCTTTTCTCTCCTTTTTATCTTACTGTTTTTGGTAGATAGGTAAGGTTTTTTTGTGATCTCTTTTATTGGATCAGGTCTTATTAGTACCTCTGTGCATCTCACCTCTTATGATTTGCATCTCCCTGTCTGTAAAAGGCCCCTGAATTGTTATATTTTTCCACTAGATATTTTGTACTGGCTAGGGCTCCAGTTATCCTCAGCTGAAATGAGACTGGGGCCTTCCTTATCATTGTTCCGCCCCCTCTAATTTGATTGTCACTGGCAGAGGAATGACTAGTATGGTGACAAGTCTGTGCTTTTGTAGCAGCGTTAGTCAAGATGGCAGTCCAAGCTGAACAATGTGCTCAAAACTGTGCATCCATCTGACCAACTCCTTTACTTCTCAGTCATTTTGGTGATTTGGTCTTAACAGTAGAGATTGTCTCCTAAAAACCTTCAGCTGCAAATGCACTACTCCCCTTTCTGATACCAGATTAGCAAATCCTACAAGCAGCAAACTAAGTGACAAGCAGTGAGTCAGTTTTAACACTTGGACCAGTATATTCATCCCGTCTCCCACTCCAAATAGGTAAGTCTTGAGCTCAGATCTATTTCTCTTGGGAGGGGATTGTAGGAGAAAACGTTCTGCCTCAGCTCCTGCTCATCTCACCAGTGAGGTAGGCATCTAAGCACAGGTGCCATGGCAAGGCACTTTCACATGTCCTCTATGATGATGCTTAAATATAAGGTTTCTTCCAGGAGAATTAGGTGAAAATGGCCATTTATTAATGACCTATGTTCTCACTTAAAATTTATTACTTGACTTCTAGCAAGGTTGAACCAATCATCTTGGTAAAAGATCCCTTCCCGCAGGCCTAGCTGTTATAGTGCTGTACTCTAGCCACCGGTTGTATCAGTTCAGGGACAATAGCACCCTCGAACTATAGTGTTTTCAGCAGTTCCCTGTAGTTGGAAGCATAACAATAGGAATTAGGATCAGAGCTTTGTGGTTTTTAAAGACTCGAAGTTTTCAGTGATGTTTTCCTTGCCTATGGTAGCCTGAGTAGAAAGACAGTTTTTGGGCGTATTCTTGGTGAGTATTCAAATTCTGTGCGCACTTATAAAGTCATTAAAGCATTAAGAGTTATGCTGGAATGTGCGAGTTGAGCTCAGCTGCTCCAAATGACTAGGATTAAGCCTCATGCTCTGAGTGAGGCGTGTTTTTTGTTGCTCTTGCCATGAGACAGATGTTTTCTTAGGTTTTAATTATGGGAGGATTCATAAGGACCACTTTAAATGAACCTGCTGTGAGTGTTCCCTAAGAATAGGTCAGGCCCTATATTTTGTCTAGGGAATTGTTTTGAATTCATATTAGTTTGCAACTAAGGCTGTAGCAAATTGCTAACTGAGAAATATCAACTATTGTGAGGGCTAAAATAATGAAACGAATAATCAAGTTGTATCTTTTGGAAACAAAGACTCTTCAGATATTTCAAATAATACAGTCGTGGATCCCTAATTTGACAAGCTGCAACCAAAGAGGGTGACATATTGTTTAGACATTTTGGGTATAATTTTCAACTCGACGAACTCAGCTTATTTTCTATCCATATGCAACATTTCAGAAGATGTACTTTAAGGATGTGCCAAAGACCTTCCTTATTAAGACTTGTTGCACTTCTCTACTGAAGGGAAGGTGAAATACTTGAAGTGTACGAATTCAAGGCAGGAATATGGAGAGGACAGTACTGTTGTCCTTACCATCCCTGAGTATTTAGGTAGCTCTAGTTCTAAGCTATTATAGACTGCCAAACTGGTGCTCAATATTGGAAAGCAGGCAGGGGTTTTCCTGTAACCTGATAGGGAGCAGCTTTGCAGAAAGCAGACTGCGATACACACAGCATCTGAAGTATTCCTAGATCTGAGCAAGGGAGAGCTTGGCCCTGTGGGTAGGTAGACTGCATCTTTTGATCACTCAGTTGCTCCTGGGTGGGGATTACTAGGTGAACTCTTGGATGACAACAGCCATGTTTGCTTCATGCATACATACTTCATAGTTTACATATTTTCAGGCAAAGAAAACGTGCAAAGGCCTTCTGAAGAGCTGAATTCCTGCCACACACTGCAGCTCATGCCTGGTGCTTTTGCTGTGTGGCCTTTGTAAAGATCCCTGCCATCTGAGCTGGAACTACATGGGCAGCCAATGAGAAGAATGAATAGCATTCCTGATGGAAATGGGTTTTACAGGAAACAAACCTCAAAGACCAAATGGTGCATTCCTGAAATTCTCATTCGGTGTAGTTGACTTACAGATTAGTGAAACGGGAGTAAATTTAATGTACCAGGACTTTTTGTGGAGTTATCAGTTGGGCATGAAGCTAAATTTAAGGTTTAAGAGTAGTCATTTAGGACTTGTTTGGATTTTTCCAAGGAATTCAATACTTCACTCTTATTTCTGATGGTGCAATATATTTACTGATTTATGTGGAGAAGCTCTGTGAAAAGTGAGTTTAATAGGAGCTGTTCCGTGTGCCGGTTGGGATGTGCAGTCCTAAGAGCTCCGTTCTGTGCACAGAGACATCATTTGACTGCTGGGGGTGACCAGTGGGCTACGCTGGTCCCCTGGATTTGCTCACTGTGCAAGAGAAGCAGAAGCCTTTTAGCTTTCACTTTGCTTGAGCACAAACTAAATACCTCTGTGGTGATATGAGCTAATGCCCCACACACTTTGTTCTTGCTGCTTTTTGAAAACCTTTTAAATACTGATTCTACACATATATATAGCTAATGCTTGTAGCACCATTATTATTTTCACAGGGCTTTTTTTAAAGGGTGACGTAGGCTTTAGTTGATAATTTATTCTAAAAAAAAAAAAAACCATTAAAATGGTGTGCTTGCACAAACTGCTCTTAACTCCCTGACCTGTGTTCACAGATGGAATGACTAAATGCTCTTTGCATATGTAAATTCCTGATCAATATCTTCAGAGTTTTTCAGAACAAGGCTACTTAAGTGGAAGTGTGTGAACTCATGACACTGACACTATATGGGCAAAACTAAAACCTGTTAAAGGGGTGATTGTATCTTCAGGATTTGGATAGATAATAAGTTTCCAACAGAACAATGACTTTTACATTGGTGGATAGATGATGTAAACCCCTGCATCAAGTAACTTTGCCCAATCTGAAGTTGAATTATGTCTGAAAGAATGAGGGGTGAAATGAGATTGATGTGAATTGCACTGGTGTACACGTTGTGTGCCTGTAGCTTGTCTGGGGGTAGCCAAACTAAGTAGGGTGGGAACTAAATCGTATCATTGTCCTCAAGCTGTGGTTTGCTGCTGCTTGCTGCAGTAACATTATTTCGCCTTTTATTTTAAACTTAGATGAAAATTTAGCGTCATCAGTCGTGCATTTGCCAAACGTAACTAGCAAAACTCAGGTCATTATGGAGACTTATTTTGGTTCTAGTTTTTTCTTGCATTTTGTCAGTGGAAAGATTTTCCTCCTTTTCTTTCCTGGGGAAAAGAAAACCCCTAACCAGCTCTGTATTTAATAGAAAAATACTTTGAATAGTATGTAGAAGCCACTTTTCCAAATGAAGGGATGTATGTTTATTAAAAATTCTTGATGTATTGCATAAATTGTACCACAAGAAGAGGGAGAGAATTTATCTTTGGGGGTATAAATTTTCATTTGGTTGCTTGTGGGGTGGCAGTGGTAGTAGAGAGGGAGTTTTGGGCAAGTAACCAGAACAGCTTAAACATACTATATGGCTTTAAGTAGCTCATTACTTCAGCCATACTAAAAATATAGGGATTTTCTGGTGAAACATGATATAAGAGCGTCAGCAGTTAGGACTTTCTTCACTGTAACAGAAAATGTAGGCTTAGCTTTTATGAGATTTTACAAGAGTATTTGCAAATGTGGCTTTTTTAATCCCCAAACCAGAATTTATACTGTAGAAAGCTAGAAAGGCAATAAAATGATGGGTGGTTAAATGACTTCACTTATGATATCAGCAAATAATACTATAAAAGAGGGTATTCATGGTGGGTGATGATAAACTCTAGGGGAATGGCAGTAGTCACTTTATAAGTCATTTTCACTTTTATTTTAATTATTTTGAGTTATTTATTTAACAGCCTAGAAGAGCTGTTTAGGTCTGCCTGAATGTGCGAGAGACTTTGAGTTTTTGAAATTTTGCACTATCTTTTCAAATGTGAACATTTTTGTTGTAAAAACAATGTTATCATTACATTTTCTTTCCTGATGGTAAGTTTCCGTAAGGCTTCCCTGTGTAGAGAAATCTCTAGTGTAACCCACAGAGCCCTTTTCAAGTTCCTACCAAAAGGTGATAAAAACAGCATCAGAAAAAGAACGAACAATACCAATCCCCAGAAAAGTCATTAGATTTGTAAAAAAGCCTATGTCACGCTGCAGATAGTTTAGGGTTGTTCCGTTGAATTTAACTGTCAGCCTCATAGACTATTATAGTACTGCATGAACTGTTGCTGACTTCAATCCATGAATTAATAATATTGTTTCATCTTGAATACATCTGGGTAGAGCTATTTAAAATAGCTTAGGTTTACGACAAAAATCTACACTGGAGATTAAGCAGCAGTCTCAGAATATATATAGCAAAGGATTTAACTTTATTTCTATTATATTAAAGTTAATTTAAGAATAAGTCTGATTCACTGCTACGCTATAAAACTCTGCCTTTTTCAATTGGTATGTTGCCATTATTTTTTTCTTTTAAACATGATC